ATTAATAAAAATCGAGTTAGAAGCAAAAAGCTATTGCTATTTCTATGCATATTTTTGTTCTCAAATTTTTGCAATATTCTATTTTTCTTCTTTGGCCATGATGTGTTATATTTGAAGGATATATCGGATTTGGCCGGAGAGCTCTGTTTTAGGATAGAAATTATTCATCACGCGATGAGTCGAATAATTAAGCGAAAATAATTAATCCAGCGGCACGAAATTAATGAAAATTATGTTGCACCGGAATTGGTGACGGTGGAAATAGATTTCCGATTTCTAAAGTTATGAAGCCCAAAAGAAATGGGCGAGATAATTTTCAAAAAGGAACAGTAAAAAAGCTACATGACTTCATCAGTACCATTTATAATTTTAACACACTCTTTTTAGTTGTCAGCGATATATAGCTTGACCTAGAAATCGTGTACTATCGAGTGTGACTATTATGGATTCTAATCGATTTTCGAGTTAATTTTTTCTTTTTAATCGAAGTCACTTTATCGTTTATCACTTCTTCGTTTTACACCAGCTTTTAAGTCGCGGCATTAAATGTCTCCATAACTATAAGCACCAAATAATACTTTATTTAAACAAAGTCTATCTGAAACTAATTGGAAAGTGAGTAATCTGCTAACTAATTGTTTGTTAAAATTAACTTTATAATAATTAAAATTAACTATATAACAGCGATTAATATATACAGATAGAAATAATGGTTTTCTAAAAATTGTCATTTCGTTACTAAATGAAAGATAAGAAAAATAAAATTTTTAATTTTGATTTGTTAATCCAAAATTTATATAAAAATATAATTTGCGAATATAATAAATATTAAATATATATATATATATATCGCATATAATTTAATAATAAGACGAAACCGACTGCGTAACAATGTAGGTTACATGTTTGTTTTGAAACGTAGAGTTCTTGGATTCCAGAAAGAGGCGATATTCTTATCTGCTCTCCCGCTCCTCCGTATTTCTTTCTTGCCGAATTGTCAATTTGCTTACCTACACAGTAGACGGACGATGACAATGTCATGGATCGAGTATCGTGTACGTGATCCACCTACGAAGCGCTCAGACGAGATATTGAAAGCTTGGCTTTACGAAGAATAACTCGCCTCTCTCTCTCTCTCTCTCTCTCTCTCTCTCTCTCTCTCTCTCTCTTCATGAGACGACGATCCGCGACAATTGCATTAATAGATCCTCATCCATATTTAGGTGGAAAAATTTTACCTACCTCGGAGAGACGCACCGTAATTGAAACGTCGTGGAGGTTTTAGAAAGCGGTTAATTTTATGCCACCCCAAGTTATCTTACTCTCACTTTAAGAATAAGAATTTTGTGATTATTTTTCTTGGATAATCTGTGTAAGTTTCTCTCTTTCGTAATTTAAACCATTTTAAATTCGTCTCGGTCAATACTTGAAATGCACATTTATTTAGAACATCCGAGAATTTCGTCCAGTGGTCCAAGAATCTATCACTGCAAATATCGCAAGTAAATAAAATGAATAATTAATCAAACTGTAATGAATAATACAGAGACATTCGAATTCCGGAGAAAAACGTCAGTTCTCAACAAAACAGCAAAACAACATTATCTCTCCACAATTGTGAAAACTGTAAGGTGCGTTTTTTTGCGTTTTAACGCTATATAACGGTTATCACAGCGGAAAATACTGACGAAGATATTAACATAATTACCACAAACTAGTTTAGCATACTCGTATCATAAAGAAGCGGTCGGGGTGGAATCTGATAATGATGATCCGGAAAAAGGAAAACCTATAGGATTTTCCTCGCCGCGAGGATTGCGATGCCGAAAGGCGCAATATCTCGTTAAGGGTAGCGAAGCGTTGCATCCGATAAATAATGCTTTCTCCATTCTTGCCGAACGTTCTCCGCGTTCTCTCGCGCGCGCGCTTCGCGATATTAAAGATACATTAACTCGCCCGGTGGACCAGGCGAGTTTTTGCCCTGGCTGCGACAGGGATAGCGCGAAAGAAATATGACGACGCTCGCTCCTTTTCATTTTGAAAAAGCGAGCGTGAGAGGAGGGCAATAACAACTCGCCAGTCGTTCAAGAAAGATTCATTGCTCTCCTGCATAAAGAACCTAACGAGCTTACTGAAGCTTCAAGGTTTTTCTTCTCCAGCCACGCTGACGGTCGGTATTGAACTCGAGAGTATTGTGGATAAACGCGTACAAACGTATTCGTTACGAGATGATTTACGAGCGGTAAAATACATATAATATTATTGAAATTATGTTAACGTAATTCTTATATGTTGCAATGCTCTATGTTATCTGTTTGTAAGAGAAAATCTTTTAACAACTGTCTTTGTAATTGAATCTCTCCGCGGAGAAGTTATCGTGTGTTCTAATAAAAAAAATTTTTATAATTTTCTCAAAGAACTTTGTTCGATACGCAATAGCCTTGTACAGAGAAAAGGAAATTGAAACATTATTTATTAATTAAAATATTAATTTCATGACACGTCTCTTTCAACCATTTTATTCAAAGAATGTAAATTGTATCACTCGTTTTAGAAAGGCCTTACAAGAGAATTTGTATTCATTCTGTTTAATTCTTTTAGCAATTGATAAGTATTTTAATCGATAAATCTCGTCAATAGAAATAAATTTTCTGTGTAAAATTTTGTTCTGTTTCCTTTTATTAACGAATAATAAAACAAAAACGGAAAATGGATCAACTTTCCGGTCAAGCATTGCTTGATTGTATTCCTACAGGAATTTGTATCACCTGGAGGAAAAGAACTTTAGAGTACTCTTCTTAAAAAAATTAATTTTCAGTTGAGAAAATTAAAACACGCTATCGACATAATATTTTTATGGAAGAAAAATGAAAAGAAAACGTACATTTAATAGTATATATTCATATCGCTTTACATGAAGGGAGTAGTTTAACGAGATTAACGAAGTTTGAGGTTTTTCTTTCTGGCTACGTTGACGCTGCTATTGACCCGCTACTTCAGCATCATAAATAAAATTTAGCACGCTCGCGCGCGTACACTCCATTACAATTTACGATCAGGCGTGTAATGGAAGTTGCATTAACACGATTTTTACGTTATTTCGATAGACAAATTGCAAAAGTTTCCTCTTTTCCAGCTCACATCGCGATGAAAAATATAACGGTTTGTTTCTCTTCCTGTTTTCCCGTAATTCTCGCTTCGCTGAAGAATTTTAAAAGAATAAATCGAAAAATACGATTAACCAGATTCTTTTTCTCCAAAAGACGTATATATCTTTTAACCTTTAAGCTACGAACTTGCAAATTGCGTCGTCCATTATACTAAATTCTGCGTGAAAACGCGGAACTGTAATTTTCATCTAACAATTCTCTTTGTTTCAGGTCACTACAGGATTCCAGAACGGCACACAGGACGAAGGATTCTCGAATACGGACATTGCACGAGAGGTAAGTACCATTCTCTTTATGCGGGTTTCTCTTTTTAGAGATTACTTGTTATTAATATTAAAGTGTAACACGTACACGTGTTATCTTTATTATTTAATTGAGCTTGATCGAGAAATTAAGATGTAATTGATGCAAAAGATTGCATACCGACACATTAAACGTTCACATTCCGTGTCTAATATCTTAATAATGTGAGGCTCTCGCCGACTGGCGCCTGGTGAAAAGTCTGAATGTAAAATATCCTCGAAAGCTCTTTCTCCGGAAGTCGTTCGGACAGAATTCCGAACGTTCTACACACTGTATAGATCCAAATTCTTTTTTTCACAATAAATAAGCGTCATAGCAATGATAGGAAATTAGAAGCGGGAACGCAATTACATAAAGGAATCCGACATGTTGTGACCTACATAATCTCCCGCAGATCCGACAGGGGGGCTCCTTACTTGAGAACAGGTCACGAATAGTCGTGGTTCGATCGATTTTTAATATAAATAGATGTGCAGCGCGCACGGATACACGCGCGCGCGAATTCGCCTAATCTTTTCCGTCGTCCTGCCCGCGCGCGCGCGCGCCGAGTTTTCTCTTTGTTTCTCTTTCTCGTTTTCTCTCTTACTTCATATCTTCTTTCCGACACGATCCCCCCCTCCCCTCTCTCTTTCTCTCCGCCACTTTTTTATTTCACCATCGAGATCTCTCACCATTCATCCCCTACTTTTGAACTCTTGTCTCACTCGCAACTCTTCTCGCCACCTCTGTTTTAAGTCCCTTTCGTCTGCTCTGCGCACACACGTGTATATACATACACATCCCCGGCAGATTCTCTCCCTTCTTTCGTATTCCTTTTTTTTACTGTCACCTACCGTTTTCCCGCCACCTTTGTCCCACCCGTTTTACGGGTCAGAGAAATTTATTTACTGAAACGAAAATCGCACACGTTTGCCCGATATTCGTTCTCGACCTCCTGGCAACACTCGGCGATATAAACTGGAAATACGCGATCGTTGAAATTGCATCGCGCCATCGTGTTATAACGATCCCCTGGTCGCGTGGTCCTTTAACATTTCCCTCCGAGGCTTTGTGAATTTAAGATATGGCTATGATAAGCTGGCAATATGGTTATACCTAACTGAAGTCGCGCTCTGGTTTCGCTGGAGCTCAATGTGTAAACATTTTTGCTAAAGTCTAAAAGAATTAATATTAAATAACTCACAGCGGATATGCCACGATTGTTTAAAACGAATTTGATTGTTTTAAAATATGTTATAAGACGCAAAAATTTATGAGTATTTTTAAAAAAATTATTATTCACTTTAATGTTAAAGGAATAAAATATCCCTCAAAGCTAATATTTAATTTGATTTTAAGCAAAAATCGTCAAAATAGTAAAATGTATAAAAAATATTTTAACAAAACTTTTGAGTTTTTAAATACATTTTACAACTTATATTTAGATTTGCTAAAAATCGAATTTTTAAAATATTCCATTACCTTGTGTAAAATAATAATTTTATGAATAAAAAATTTAAAACAATTTTATGTTAAATTTGAACTTACCTCGTCGTAAATGAAATTGTCGATCTCTTCCAACGGCCTGCCGTAGAGATCGTTCGGGAACGGTTCGAATTTGTTTGGCAGTACCGCGCCATCCTCCACCGACATCTTCCTCTTCGGTTGAAAACCATATTCGCGTACTAATTGCACAGTCTTGTTTTCCAACCTGCTTTCCTTCGTGAACGGCTTAACCGTTTGCTTGCCACTCTTGTTGCTGGGGGTCCTCGCACCGCCGAACGATTTACCCTCGATCTTGGACTCCCTGGCGTCCAGAACGTCGCCCGACGCTGCCTGCGGCGTCACGACATCCGCCTGAATCTCCGCGCTTCCGGAATCGCCAGTGCCGGAGTCGGCGGAGGTGCCGACGGTTCCGGCCAACGGTGGTCGCAGCCTCGTACTATCCTGCGTCCGGGAACCGATCCTCTTCATTGGCGGGGATTCGCTCTTCTTCGACTCCGGTGAGGTCATTTTTTCCGTCCCCGACGGACTCGTAATTCCGTCCGCCTTGTCAGTGTCGGCGCGCGAGTCCGACGACTCGGCGATCGCCTGCGGATACTCCTTGTCCCCTTCCAACAACGGTGAGCTCGGACGTTCCTTATCGTCAGCTTGATAGACTCTCGTCTCCGCCATGGGACAAATTTTTGACGTCCGCGAACTCGGTTCCTCGTACTCGGTATACTTAGGCGGACTTGGATCCGCGTACGGTGGCGGCGATTGCCGCCGATCCTCGCTGAGACCTTCCGTCGACGAGGTGATGCGGGGTGACGAGGGTGCGTCAGGGCGTCTCGTGGCTTCCCCGAAACGGCGCGGCCCAGCCGCTAGCCTGGGATCTTCGCCCGTGATCCGCACGTCGATTGCACTTCCTCTGGGCGATGCGTCAGCGCTGGACCGTACGAACGGTTCTTTCCAGCCCGTAGGAAACTCGGAGGATCCTCGAACGGACCTCTCCGGCGAGGCCTGCCCGGGACGATCCTCCATTCGTTTCGGCCAACTTCTTTCGATCGGGAGCGAGCCATGATGATCCTTCCGTGTTAAACTCTCCGATAATCTGCCGTCGGGTTCTCGATGTCGGGCCGCGACGCCGGATCTTCGGGATGGCTGAGGCGTTCTGGAAGTCGCTCTTCTGAGATGATCCTGACTGTCCCTGCTGCTCGCCGGAATATCAAGACTCCTTTGGCTTCCGCCGTCTCTGGGCCGGTCGTTCGGATTCCCGGTGGGCCCATAAATTCCCTCCTTGGCCAACTCATCTAACTCCTCTCTGCTCAAGTTCTTCACGTAGAGCCCGGCCACTCGAGGCCGGTTCGTGAAGCCATTGTCCTCCGAACCGCTGCTCGGAGGGCTGGGAGGACTTTTATTCCCCTCGCTCCCGCCCCGCCGAGATGTCATTGGGACCTTTGCTCGATCATCCCTTTCGATCCTGTACTACTTTCGCCGGCCTCATGCTAGATCGCTAGATCACCTCGATGCGCTCGATTGTCGCCGATCAATATTCGCCACGCTGTTATCGATCGACCAACCAGCAGGATTTTGGAGCAGCGTTAGGGATTACGCGATATATCGCGTTGCCAATTCCGTCCTCTCGATTTATCTTCTCCTATCTCGTCGATTTGTACGACGCTTCGATCACTGCGATTGCATCTAAGGCTATTTCGGAACGCCGGCTCAACTTCTACCGCAGCGCCAGCGAAAATTCGTGTGAGACATCTTTTTTCAAACTTCACGTTCGATCACACTTTTATCAATTAACACTCGTGTGGTGTGCATTCAAAAGCATCCTTTTGAATACAGGCAATTGTGCTTATTTTTGAGACGTTTAGAATCACGCGACCCCCGAAGCCTGGAGTTCTGCACAATAAAAAAGACAGCAGCCTCGTAGATTCATATATCGATGCACTAGGCTGCTAAAACTAAACGCGCGGGTTTGCGTTTCCGCTATCCTAGGGTGACTTGCTGAGATTACAGATAAGTAGATAATATCCGGTGCACTCTTTATTATTGGTAGCCAATAGCGGAAAACGCCTGCAGAGAGAGCGTTTTCGTGTGATGGATGGCGAGACGGAGAGACTTCTCGGCGGCTCGCAATCTGCTGCTTCCTGCACTTTAAAGTTTCTATAGCGATCCCGCTTGTTGGAAACTACAACGCGCTTGTCGTTGCGTCTTGACAGATGAACAACGAGCAACGAGATGAAGCGCGTACAAGGCCACGGATTCGATGGTATTTTTCGAGCCGAACAACGGAGCCTCTCGAAATCGCAAAAGGTTTTGATCGCTAAGCCCCTCGAGTTATACCGTCGCTCGCGAGCCTTACCCACGGCCGCGTCGTCGAGAGCGGTTTACACATACTTCTCGCGTGGTATACTTCTCGTGTCGCGTCGCTTGACTTTAAGAGGTCAAGGAGTCCGTGCCTGCACATAGTTCACTCTGAATGTCGGCGGCTGCCGAGTGTCATGGTACTACCTGCTATATAAGCGATCGACCGCGGTCGCCGTTTACCAGCCCTTGGAAAACTCCGCGCCGTTTCGCCGACAGTCCGAGTGAACTTAATCGTAAATACACGCGTGCGGTGGAACGAGGGAAAGTCGACCACGTGAGTACTCCGTGACTCGCGTCGTCATCGATCATCAACCACGTCACCGTGGCACGTATGAAGCCGTCATGTAAATCGTATTGCAGCGTGTGTCGGACGAGGACGTCTCGCGAGTTCGATCGATAGCTCAATAGATCAACTGTTTGGAGGCACGGAGATGACGCGCGTTCGTCCCTTTATTCCTGGTCGTTTTACGGATTTCCGTTTCTACTTCCGCGCTTCGCGCGCAGGGTGAAATTTGGATAAGTGCACGTCGGAAACACACGAAGCGTCGTCGCCTGCCGGTCGATCACCCCGCGACCCTCTCTCAACGTTCGTTCGCGTTCCGACGGGATCGCGCGAAGAGGACCCCGAGGACGAACCGTCGGTGACTAAGCGGGCCAGGACGCGATTAGCCAGGCTGTTCGTCAAGGTGTACACCGGCGGGGGTATAAGGATGGGAGGGAAGGCGCGTCCGCGCGCCCACACACATACACTCACACACAATCGCGCTCTCGCGGAGCAGCGTGGTCGGCCTGCATCAGCGTACCACTATCACTAGCACCCACCACCACGAGGCGTCGGGGATTGAGGCGGTGAGACCAAAGCGATCGGGCTCCGCGGTATCCCCCACGGTTAGCACTCACTCGTCATTCGTCATCCGGCGTGGTACGACGGTCGTCGCGGCGCGAACGGGTACGGCCGGGCGAGGGGCACGACGACGGTAAAGACGAAGAGAAAAGAGCCGGAAGCGTGAAAGAGGAATAGCCCGCGGTAAAGAAAGAAGACGTTCGAAAAAATAGCGAAGGATCGGCCGAGAAAAAAGACAGAAGGACAGAGACAGAGTAGGGAAGAAAAAAGAGAGAAAGAGAAAGAGAGAGAAAGAGAGAGAGAGAGAACCGTGGTGCACCCTCGTCGTATAGTCCGGTAAATTCTGCTCGAGCGGGGGTGCAAAATCACGGGCGTCTCTTCCGAGAGCTGTGGCGGCACTGTCGGCACCGAACCCTCATCGGTACCGCGTGCGCGCGCGCGCGTATCGAACCACCCCGAGCCGGAGAACGCCGCCGGCCGCACGGAATCTTCGTCGGTGTATAGCCGCCGTACATACGTACGTACACACGGAACGGCGGGATCTCGAGGCACGTACACACGCGATAACGCGGTGAGAGAACGAGAAGGGGGTGGCAAGGGACGGTCGCGGAAATGGTGATGGTGTTAGTGGTCGCTGCTGCTGGTGCTGGTGTGGTGGTTGGCGGTGGCGGCGGCGGCGGCGATGGTCGCGGGGGGTACCGCGTACCTGCACGAACACCCACCGCTGCCACTGACGCTAACCCCCACCCGTGGGTCCACGAGCGCAGCCAACCCCCCTGCAAGTGGTGGCGGTGACGGCGGCGGTGGCGGTGGCGGTGGCGGCAGTGGCGGTGGTGGAGGTCGAACAGGATACGGCAAACAGGCGGACCGAACGACAGGCGAACGGTACCCCCGTTCCGCAGGACACGCGCTGTAATTAATCCACCAATCGACACCTGCAGATTCCGCCGGATGAGAGTCGGGTTAATGCACGAAACGGTGAAAACGACCGGGTTTCCCTCCTTCCGCAGCCCTGACGCATAATTCTCATCCTTACGCGAGTATCGTTTTTACGACACGGTGGGATAACGGCGAATGCGCTGTCGAGCGACGAACGCGCTTTCAGGGATAACGGATTTCCGTTAACGAAATCGATAGAATCGTCAGTTTAGCTGGAGGCTGTAATTAGGACTTGTTGGCGATTAAGTTTAAGCGCCAACTCTCTTATCACGGATCGTGTACACTAAGCAAATTGTGGCACGGATTCTTTGCGGTGTAACGTGATACTGTTATCAAGATTTCGGATTTCTTTCATTTTTTCATAAAGACACTTTGAATGAGAAATTCGTCAATGCGACTTTTTTTTCCCTGGCGTAAATTTAAACCGACTTCTTATTATGCACATTAATGATGAGAAACCATCATGTGCGATGTAACCTGGTAATATCAGCAATTTTTAACGATATGAGAATCAAGAATTTAGATTAAAATTTCATCCAAATTCGTATAGAGGGTATAGAAACTTTTGCTTGCAGAAATTTAAATTATTATCCTATTATAAGCTATGCATTGAGTAAATCGGGGAATATTTACTTTTTCAACTTGACATAATAGCCGTAATAAATTCCCAGATAAAGTGGGAATCATTAACCGTGATTAATCTAAGCGACGATTTTATCCTGACGGAAAGTTTAAATAGGAGTATAATTAAGTATAAAGTAAGGCAGTACATTAGCGAAGCAAGGAAGCATATTGTTATAATAGCATATAATAGCATCGCCAATTTTTTAATAGATTTTTATGCACTCTATAATAATAACAATAATAACTTTATTGCAAAAATACAATTGTAAAAATTAAATTAACAAAAGAATAGGAAAAATGATCTCATCGCAAAATGTGAAAATTCTGGAAACAGAAACTTAATAAACAGAATAAAATTTCTTAAAATTTATTAGCGGACATGATTACCGAATTAATAAATAAAATTAAACGTTAGAACATTTTTATTAATTAAGCTTTTGAAAGGCAATAAAGATAAATAAACAGTAAAGTCTTATTTATATTATTAATTAACTGATATTAATACTTGGTATTGTTAATTATTAAATAAAAATTTTAGGGTCGCAAGGCTAACTTACGTTCAAGGACTTTCGAAAATATATTACTCCTCTATCGACTTCGATATTTTAACGGTGACTCGATAGTCGGTGCTGTAAGCACCAAGTAATTTGTTATGATTAACTTCAGGACAAGGAGTACAAACGATCTCTGTCAGTGGGTCTTCTTTCACTTTTTCGGGAATTATGTTCTTCTTTTCTATCAAATGATTATCCCTCGTTCGCCTTGAATTAAAACGGAAGTAATTGATCCGCGACGTTACGTGATATCCAAGGCATATAAATCCAGCGATTAAAGTGAGATTAAATTTAATCGGTGAAATATGACCTACGCGGAGAGAATTTTAAGCGCGGTAATATATGAGACGATATTTTGGATCGGTTTCCATCTGACCTCTTTAAGTTAAACGTGATTTTCCCGTTATCCGATGTATAATTGTCCGATGTATAATTCGAGACGAAAAATTTATGCCTCGTATATTTCATTATTGCGATATTAGCGACGCTATTCGCCATTTTACGTCTTGAACGATATTGCGATTTCGCGATTGCATTCAATCTCAAAGGTAAATGCACATGGTAATGATGGTTAATTAGAGAGACGAGCGAAACGTGTGCGTATCTCCTTCGCACACGGCGTAGCTAATAACGTTTGCAATTCGCGAACGCGCGTATGATGATTTTGGATATATGTATTTGAATTTCTCTCGCAGACTGCGCCACGCGAATTCCGGAACTTATAGTGAGTAGTACATTACCCTCGGAAAGTATCCGTACGTACATTCCCACGAGTATAAGGTAAAGGTACTTTCGTTGCGCGAGCAATCTTGCAATAAGTTTCTCCTCCAGGGGAGGCTTAAGGGCCGGGTGGGGCAATTAAAATTGGGTTGAATAAAATGCCATGATTTCTAGATTCAATAAATTCGGTTCTCATTTTGCGAAATTTATTGAATAGTTTTTTAATTGTCAGACTACAATATTCTATTTATAATAATTAATAGTTATCTAGTTATTGAAGGATTTGCGACGTCGAATTGCTATCGCGCCGGATTTTCTGCTCCTTAAAAATAGTATACGTATGTTAATGCCGAAGTAGGTGACGCATAACAAGGAAGTAATTCGCAATTATTACGAACTCTCGCAATCAAATGCAGCTGCTGCGCTGCGAGCAATTAGTACGCAATCATTTTCATGGTATGTCACATCCATTTATATACAATTTCTCTCTCAATGTCCCAATCTCTATCAAAGATACTTTGAAATGTCAGTCTGTCCTTGCTTCAATTTGGAAGAGAAGTTATAATTTTTATAAATATAAAATATATAAAATATAAATGTAACCCCTTGTATAGTATTTTTAAAATCAGAATTGTGATATTCGAAACATATATACATTTTTGTTACACTTGTTGTGGAGAAAGAGGGGGAGGGGGGAGGGGGGTGAGAGAAGCTCGTTAACGTTGCGTGATGTGGAGCCAAGAAAATCTCAGCTTCGTCGTGATATTAGAAGATTATATGTAACAGCTGCGCCTGAATATGCATCTTGACGCATGGCTGCTACAAAACCTTGTCCCACACGGCATGATGTTTCGTAATATTTCTTGTAAGATAAGCTACTGATGTAAGATAAGCCACGGTGCAATGTATCGCCCCGCGACGTATGTGTAATGTGTGTAACCAGGCATTGTTTACGGTTTTCCATTCGTGCGGAATGTTGTTGCGGCAACCGTGAATCGTGAAATATATCTTGTCCTTGATTTAGTAGTCAAAGGAATTTAGATCGAGGACAAAACTCTATTCCGTGTATATGAACGTACGTACGTATACGGAATATTGTAGACGATTTTCGCGGATTAACCGCGATATAAAAGTTTTCTTTTACTTTATTCTTTTAACTGAGAATATATTAATTGATTTTATAAAATATTTACACGTAATTTATTGTTAGAATGCATCACGCGATAATTGCAAATTGAATTTTTTATAAGTGTAAAAGTATCGAAGAACCAAAAGTGTTTTAATAGCAAGAAATCTGTATTGTATTTTAAGAAGATGCGAGAGACACATGTATCGTAAAAAAATAGATTTATACAACTCGTCGATTTTCGAGTAAAGAAGAAAATGTCCGAAATCTTTACGCGAATCAGGATGTTCTCTGGGAAATTATGGGTATATAAAAAGGCTCTGACAAATCATATGTGTACCTTTTTCTCGATAAATATATTATGAAACGATCGAAGCATTTTTATAATGACAATAAAAAGGTTGTCGTTAAAGGGCTGAAGAGGCGGATGTGCCGGATATTGCTTTTCACATCCATTCTTACGTGTCCGACCATCCTTACAGCGCGTGTGATTACAACTTCTCTTTCATCCCACCTCCCCCGCTGCGTGTCCTCTCCGCGCCATAATAGTCTTCAGAGACACAGGCGGAAAGGGGCGGCGAAACTCCACAATGTGGAACGTCATCAGCGGGACTTATGAAGGATAAGTTGTTCAAACCTCCGGAAACCGAGTCCTACTTAGGATTTATAGCGCCGCGAACTTCTCATCTCCCGGCAAGTGCTGATAGCTGCTCGTTTATTTATGCCTTCATGAGGGATTCCGTATTCTTTCCAACGGCAACGTGGCGGCTATTAATCTTACGTAACGCACCGAGTTATTAACGTTATACCTTTTTTTTTTTACTGATTCCGCGAAAATGTACACGCGTATGCTTGATAATAGACGCATTTAATAAGATAATATACAATCCCTTGTTGAAAAACTGAATATCCCGTTTCGCTGCAGAGAGATTTATCCGGATGTCGCTCGCGCAGTCTTTGAAATTTGAATATTAAACATCTTGATAACGAAGCTTCCGAGTCGAGATCCTGTAAAGTTTGGAATTCAAAGCGTCGAAGTCGGAATTATGTTAAAATAAAATCGGAACTTTATTTAAACAGGATTTTAATATGCAACGCGTAATTATCATGTCCAATAATTAAGGGAATGTAAAAGAAATATCGCGCGACGAGGTTTTTTTCAAGGAAATATTCACTTAAATCCGTTCAAAGAGCCCGTAGGAAATCTGTAAATTTTGCACGTGCAATTTTTCAAGGAGGTTGTGATTTGCTTCGTTTCACAATAACGTAATAACGGGGAAGAGATAGAAATACAAGAACGAGGATATACATCGGGTAAAGCAACGTAATGGCGTTAAAGCCGATACTATAGGTGCAAAGCACACGCTATTGCGAAAAGCACGTCGCCAACGGGACTTTGCTATTGTAAGCACTTTTGAAGAATGCACTTGGTGAATAGGATCTCCTTTGGCCTCATCCGTAACAACTTGATCCCTAACTCGTATCAAATGGTAATCTCCCCATTGTGAAACTTAGCGTAATATCACTGCCGGTGACCGAATTGCCTTATCAGTTGAAAATTACACGATATCACGCGGCATTTCCCACCGCGCTGCAACAAGTAGTGGTCGCAGGAGACAAGTGGAGTTTAATAAAAATCGATCGGAGTTTATTTGACGATTTAGTCTGAAAATCTAATTCTTCCCGCAATTATGTATCAGAAAAGTAAACAAATACGAGTTTATAAATTAATTGTTTGAAAAAAAGCAAACAGATCGGAGTAAATTTTAAAATAAGTTGTAAAATTAATATATATATAAGAATTTCGTTAAATCGAAACTTGCATATAAAATAATATAAGTGCTTAATGAAATTAAGCAATATCGTTCTGCAGCATTGCCTCTCCGAGTTTCGAGAAATGCAAATCTTCGTTCACATCTGTTACCGTAACTCGATAAGAAAGGTGAATGCTGTTCAATCGTAAAAGAGGTTTTTTGCATTATCATTCATCGCATTGTCATTTGGCAATATTAAAGAAAGAGAAAACAGTCGCGACATTTTTTATATGAATTTGCGATTAGCATGAGAAAGAATATGATGTTTCTCCCTTTTTGTTTCTTCTTATTTTAGCACATTTCTATATTTCTCTCGTGATAAACGCGTAACGCGTGACATCCAGTGAATGGAATTCGCTTTAACTTGGACATTAGTTTGTCGGTATTGTCGCTTGCCGACACAAAATTTATTAATTTAATAAAGAAACAACTTAATTAACATAATTATATGTGTACAGTAATTAATAAGTGCACTGATATTGCTATACATATAAAACGTTCGAAACATTTTTTTAAAATAATAAGATTATTTGATACATAAAAGAAATATGAAATTTTATGATAAGAAAATTCTTATATCTTATAATACATTTTTATTTTATTTTTTATTTTTTAAATTTATGAATATTTTTGAAAAATATATTTTAAACTTCTTAGATAAGTTTTTTTTTTCCGGAAATTGTAGAATGAGAAATTCTTAAAATATAATTCGGGATTCACATGTGTAAAAAATTTTAGAAAAGATGTAAAGTTTTTTAGCAATTTTAAAAAATGTTCCAATTTGTACAAAAAATCTAAGAAATTTTCAACAATTTATAAAATCATGTAGAAATTTGTGTCTAAAAAATTATATGAAGAATTCTAAAAAAATTTTTGCCAGAGTAGATGGGATTTTAAGTAATTCTGGATTAACTTTGATGAAATAATTGTAAATGAAATTTTTATAAAGATCTGACATTTGTATTTTATCTTTTATACAATTTTTATATATTCAATGCATATATTATAATATTTAAAATTGTTGTACGCACATATATACATCAGCTATATTTACAACACATCATCATTATGCACAACGAAAGTCGTTCATCATGTAGTAATTATGTGTACAAAAGATAAAAAACATTGAAACTGGATAAATATTTATATTTACAATAAATATATACAAAAAGAAAAAAATTAAATTAAAAACACATCTCTCCTTTTTACTCTCTTTTTCTGTTTCTCTCATAAGCCATTAAGACTTTAGCGTTTCGCCTCCATCAAACATTCCTTAATCTCGGCGCTGTAAAAGTGCGACAAGGTGAACGCAAGATGTCAAGTTTCAGATCGGTTCGACTTGATACTCCGTATTTAACTTTTGCCTCCGTTTGAGCTTGCTCTGTATCTCCTGCAATGTTTTACCCTTCGTCTCCGGTACTACAAAATAGGCAAAAACCGCGGATGCGGCCGAGAAGCACGAGAATGTCCAGAAGGTCGCAGCCTGGCCCATCCTGTCCTCCATAGTCGGGAACAGCTTGGTGACGGCGAACACCAGACTCCAGTGCACTACGATGGACATGCTGCTGGCAACACCCTTGGTTTCCGGCGGAAATATCTCGCTTATTACCGTGAACGGCACGGACCCGTAACCGATCGAGAAGACAATGTTGAAGAGAGCGAGGCTAGTCAGCGGCAACCAGCCGAAGGTGCTCACGTCATTTCCTCCATCCTTGAGCTTGAAGTAGTAACCCAGGACGCTCAGACAAATGGTCATCAAGGTGCCGGATATTATCAGGAGCGGCTTTCGGCCGAATCTGAACAAAGAAGAGACGGAATCGCGATTTAAAATCGTCACATTACTGCTACAGAAATTTCAAGATATTTGAAGAAATGCACGAGAATTAATTTTCTTAATTTTAAAAATCGGAGTTATAAAATCGAATAAATTAACTCGATACTCCATAATGTAAAAAGAAAATAAAAAAAACTAGATGGAGGATAATCTAAAGGCTGCTGCATTAATTCCAAGAAATTTAAAGAAATTTACAATAAACCAATTGCGAAAGATATATATATTGTATTGAAAGGCTCTAACCTGTCGATTACGGTAGCGACGAATATCGTCATCACAACTTCGGTGAGCCCAATAACGATGGTCGATAGGAAGGGGTCGATCGTGCTGTTCGCCGCTTGGAAAATGTTAACCGTGTAGAATAGAACCGCGTCTACGCCGCACAACTGTTGGAAGAACATAAGCCCCACGCAAGTGACAGCGGCTTTACGTCCGGCTTTGGTCCCGACGAGATCCTTGAGGCCGCCCGACGCGTTCACCATCCTGTCGACATCGTCCTGGAGAGCAGTTATTTCGCCCGCGATGTCGTAATGTGGACCGCGTAAGATTGTTAGCACTTTGGCGGCTTGAATCTTACGGTCTCTCTGCACCAACCAGATCGGCGACTCCGGCATAAAGGGTACGCCTAGGACGAAGGGCACCAGGATGGCGCAGCAGGCGATGTTGAAGACTACGTAAGAGCAGTAGGCGCCCGCCACATACGAGAACATAATCCCCGAGGAAAAGAGCAGGGGAAAGAAGGCGCCCAGGGCGCCGCGGATCGACGTCTGGGCAATTTCGCCGGCGTAGACCGGCACGAGGACACAGGCCGCTCCGGCACCGATTCCGCCGATGAATCGGGCGACGTATATACTGACGATGTTTCCGGTCGTGAGCAAGGTAAGCCAGCACACGGTGAATGGCACAGCTGTTAAAAGGATGGCCCATTTCCGACCGATTCGATCGGCGATTTTGCCGGCCGGCACGGCGCCGACGATGGCACCCAGGGCCAACAGAGATGTTATCCACGAGATCTGATTTTCAAACAGTTTCGGAAGGAAAGATTCCGGCGATGTGAGATACGGCAGAATCGGCGATGTCCAACCGAGCGTTATGCCAGCCTGCATGCCGCCTAGCGCAGCTGCAAACAAACAGTCACACTCTCGTCAAAAGAAAGATTTTCTTAAGAAAACTTAAAAGTTGCTCGTAGTACGCGTGATTTTGTCGTATTAAAACAGAGGTGGTTAAAATTTTAAAACAATACTCAACAATACTCTTAAAAAAACGTCATTTCGTTTATTTTATTAAATTGACAAACTAAATAATACACTTTTATTAATTCAGTCTACGCATAACTATTGTCAACGACAATAGAAAGACTATTAGATAGATACAAAAATGGTACAACCGATTCTAGTGTTAAATGTTGTAGATACAGATAAGTCACTGATTCAATCGTAGGCAGGTCCAAAGAAGTCAATCACTTTAGATAATATTGATATCACTGCGAGACAACCTGTCGGCTAGATTATATATATATACACACATGTATTATGCAACATGAGAAAAGTATATTGATCTTTGTAAACGATCAAGTTTCTTTGGATATTTATATTATACATAAAGGATATTTATATTCTCTGCATGTTTCAAATTTTACAACATGTACGAAATTTTAATTTAATTTAATTTTTATTGCATTTTTTAGATTATCAAATGCAGTGATATTAATATAATTTAATTTCGAAAAAATTTAGACGCGAGATTTATATCTAGATTTATATGTATTTATATATATGTTCCGTAAAATTTTGTAGCCAACTATTTTCTAAAATTTCTTTTTGTTTTAGCGTCAGCCAGCTAAAATGTTTTTAAAATTGCGTGAGGCAAAGATTAATTATTAACACACAATACTGATTGCGAGATATCTTTATAAATCTCTAGAATAATTATTAGATTATTTATTTATGGCATTTATTCGGTGTTTATTTATGACAGTTAATTATGTATACAATTTTTCAAACATTTCTTTGACGTAAAAGATCGCGTAAAAATAATCTTGTCAAATTTGACGCGGAACCACTTAAAACTTGTTGTTTCGTTTCTGATAAGAAAGCATTATCTTGTACGCAATACTGTTTCTTGTATGGCGTACTGACTCTGAATCACAATACAATATTCAACTATTAATATTGGAAAGTATTAAAATTATATTTTATATAATAAAAAATAACACAAAGCAAGTTGTGTTTAGTTTTAAAATTAAAGAATCGGATAAATATTACGATACTTGAATGAAATATGACATGAATCATAAATTAGCGTTATCTCCAATTAAGTTGAATTTCGCATATAAAATCCATGATAAAAATTTAATAAATTATACACCGGCAAGATAAAACCGACCAATATTTCTCTTGAATCTTGCGTGTAGTTTTTATTTTTATTAAGAAGAACATTGAGTTTTAGTAATTGATTTTTATACGCGTCGCGACATGATTAATCTCTTTTAATAAATCTCTAATTTGACGGTTAGAAATGAACTTTATTGGGAGTGGTAATGGAGTATAATCCATATTACTTATAAAAAGACAGAGTTACCTTTCCATGCTTCAGCACGGACAGCTTTATCATCATTATGTCTACAATAGAGTTCGTGTCCATAATTCAAGCTATATTTAATTTGAGCTTTACTTGTCGCAATTCATCTCTTCTATTTTAAGCATTAAGCAAGAATGATCTCGATTAGGGCGTTTCATAAAACGTGATCTTGAATATAATAATTGAGGTGCCAGAAGAATTTGTCAGAAAAGTACGTGCCAATTAAAAATACTCGCCAAGACCGAAAAATTAAGGACGTTCTTTATGGATTCTTCGATCCTTTAATCGCCGCACCGTGAAAAATGAAATATATTCGTTTCTTCTTACTCACCGCACAAAGTGACTAGAAATTGAAAACGTTTGTTTCCTTCACTGAAAGAGCTGGAATTACTTGGCTCTTGGGAGACGTGCCGTTGCTTCTCACTCGGCAGGGTGACCAGAAAGGGTTTTGACGTCGTGTCGTTGACACGCGTCGTCGTGGTGGTGCCTATCGTCATCGCGGAACGGAATTGATTTGGAGAACAAAGAGAAAAGAAAGAATTCTTCCGTCACGAAGGAATCACTGACTCGCGTTTTGAACCACGAACGTGTCAAACTGTTAGTAAACTGTCGAGAGGTAAATAAAGGCATAAAGTCACGCGTTCCTTAACCGCGCCGCGCCGCGCGTTCTTTGGCTCGGTCGTTATACGGATGCGTGTTATATATATCGTTTCGTCGATTTATATCTCAAACGTCTCGCACGTCTTATCGTTGCATCATGTCTCCAGGAAAGCGCCCGATAACCACCCGCGTTCGCGTTTGTTAGGGATACCGCGGAGGTTTATCTGCCGTGCGAAAGATGCTCGCTTAATGCTAGCGCTGTACGCGCTTTAAAATCGCGACGGCTTAAGAATAAAAAATTGTCAAATAAACCACGGAAGAATAAAAAATTGGCAAATTGACCATGGAGGATATGTTCTTAAATTGAAACTGATAGGTCAATAAAACGTTTTTTTCCACGGTCTTCGGCGCACTTATACGTCTTTATCCTAGCAAACATATTTATCTTAAGTAGCAGTTATCTTCTACATAAATTTTATAGCTCCATTGTTCAGCTTAAATCGGAGTAATAATAAAAAAAATTTTATATAACACTTTAGAATTAGGTTTTCATTATTTATTGTCTTTATATTTTTTTATCAAGAAAATTTTTATTTTTCATATATATACAGTTATTTTTAAATTTGTAATATATTCGACAAAAAGCGATTTCCAGTAAAAAATTTAATCGATAATGAAGAATAAAATTGTTATATACAAGATTTTATTTTTTTCGAAAAATAAAATAAAATTTAATAACATTTTAATGTATTTTTTAATCTCGAACGAATTTTAATATTGTGCTAGTACATGACGTCGTTTGCATTCACTCTAGCAAGTTATTCGTTCGCGTTTGCTGGTTTGTAATTGATTTTAGACGTTGTTTCATCTCGGCAACTTCTATTAAAATAAAATGCATAAAATTATTTTATTATATAATTCTAATTTACATATGCATACATATATCGTATAAGTAACTTTTTTTACAACTTAAACTATTTTAATTTGTTTTATTGTAAATAGAATATTATTCTTGTTAATAACAACTGCTATCACAAGACGAGTTCATTGACGTTATTACACGCGTGAGATCACTGCAATCATTTAAGTATGAAGGAACTCAAAGCTATAATATAAATTGTCAGTTCTTAAAATCATTTCCTTCAAAAGCTAAATTTTGTATAAAAAGATTTCTTACGCTTTTATTTATTTTTTCATAAAGATTATCTCTTTTTCGATTATTTTATTATTTTTAGAGATACCATGTATATTAATTATTAAGAATGTATATAAAGAATTTTGCGCCCTCGGAAATATTTAAAGCTAAAAATGTCTTTCTGTTTAACTTGTTTTGAGTCTTGGGAAAATGTTTGCGAATAGAAGTGAAATTAGAGACATTCCTTACTTGCGAGAAGTCAAAAGAGAAACATGTGAGTAAAGAACAAATCTCACTTGTGTCTAGAAAGTCACTGTTTAAGAGTTTAAAGAACTCTTTTATTCCTTTCTGTTACGGTATTCGCAGCCTGAAGTAAACGAGAGAGAATATTTCGCGCTTCTCGAATTGAGTTATTTATGTCTGGCAATAGATGTATATTAAAAAATTAAAAAATCCTAATTTCTCTTTCTCTCTGAAAATATATTTTGTAGTGCATTATTTGTGAAAAATTGTCATCTGGCTTTGTAGAATTTTTATCTTTATGTTCGTAAATATCGGAGTACATACACGCGAAAAGTGTTTGTTATTCTTCACGTTTAGCGTCAGATGAACACATATTACTCACGCGAAGTAATAAGCCGAAAGCTAAATATGGAGTTAAGACGCAGACATTAGGAATCATAACGTGACAGTCCGCGCTCTCGCAAAATAAATCTTTGCTATAAAGCGGATGAAGATGTGCATACCATCTTGAGAGTATTAATTGTGTTTGTAAAATATATTTCATAATTTGTCTGATTCAAATTACAGCAAAATTTGTGTTTTAATATACTAACTTTAATATTTATAAACTTTTAAATTTGAACTTTATACATCATTCATATTTATATTTGAAAATGCTTCTTTTTAGACTTTACTAAGTTAATAGCGAAAGAAAATAAGTGTTGTTTGTAAGAAAAGACAATCTACGCTAGATAATAAATGCTTGCGTTTGTTACTGCAGTATCGTCCATCCAACTAAATTTATTAAAGCATTCTTTTTTTATCTCATTTATCAGCTTTATTGAGCCATTTAACGCGCATATCTTTCCTTTTCTTTTTATATCATTGCCATTTCGCAAAGTTGATGGTAAACGTGCTTAATGTGAAAAGAAAATTCATAAGGTAAGCGTAAATGTGTGTACGCAACAAGAATAAGTTTATGTATGTGCCAATCTACTATATGTAATGACAAATGTGTCAATATATACTTCTGATGGGCGTTGTCGGCGATGAGATATCGCATCATTATCTCATTACATTATAGACGGTCCATATTTGTCGCCATTGACGCACAGACTGGCGTATGCAAATGATGCAATACCATACTTACACATCTCGCGCGTTAAAAATAGAAATCATTATTCAATTATCCATTGTCTCATCAATCTTGTCTCTATATGCGGTATTCTAATATTTCTGTGCAACACAAGCTTCGAATCAATTATTTAAGCAACAAACTGAGACAGTTTTTGGCTGGTAAAATTAAAAAAGAAGTTTTTTTTTAACTTATAACTCTTATAGAATGCTTACGACTTTATGCAATCTTTACAGTTTCTCGCTAGTCGTAAGATCTATGAGAAATCATAAATATTTACGAATAATTGTGCGTCTTACGGTACGCATAGAATTACAATTACAGTTATAAGTTTTTACAAGTTTTAAAACAATTTACGAGCCTTACGATTCTGTTTAGAATTAATTTATTCGACTCTAAAGTTACAAAATCGCGACTGATGCATATCAGTAGCATATAAAATTGCATATCATTTTGAAGCTCACTCAACTATTAACAGTTATTAATTAACGAGTAAGGAATTTCATTAAGTAACTAATGAACTTTCACGTGTTAATACTTACTCAGTACTTAATGCTCGACGATGTTTGTTCTTCTTGCGTACACATTTACGCTTATCTAGTGAATTTTCTTTCGCATTAGCGGCCTTTACCTTCAATTCTTTGAAATGGTAATATATGATAAAAAAAAGAACAATGGGAGTAAAATCACGCGTTCACCTGTAAAATTTAATTACAGAACGTTATACATTCGTTCTTTCACGTCAGTTCCAAGATATGCTTTACAAAAATGTGAAAGTGCGTGTTCTTTCTTCTGCATGTTTCGAGGGTATACCGAGAGTTAAATTGTGAAGGCTGTACAAACACATTCCGTCTTATCTTTAAGTTAGCATACCTCGTGCGTACACACTATCCAGTTGTAACTGTCTAAAACCACCGAAACACAGAATTTATTGAGCTTATCATTAAAACGTAAAAGAGCAAAGGTTGAATGATGCAGAAAGAATGATTGCATAAATATGCGTTTTATTGCAGTGTATGAGGTTATAGAGTTTACTATAATCTGAAGTTCACGATCTTTATTAAGATACGCGCAACTATTTAAAACGTGTTTATTACTCGATAATATCTTCAACAAGAAGATCTGCTTATGTTATTTATTTACTTTTCCTAGAAATTTAAAGCGAACTTTTTTGTAATGAGAAAAATATCTTGAAAAAAATCTCGTAGATCGCATTTAGGTATATTTAAAAATGTAATTATGTTTGTAAAAAGAAGCGAGCAGAAATATTAATAGATAGCCATAGAAAAATATTTATTGAAACAATAATACAATAATGCATAGAGTATCACATTTTCCAATATCAAATAATTGCATATATATATATATATATAATCGTTAAAAAGATTAGAAATTATATAACCTTAGAAAAATTAGGAAAGAAATTGTAATGTATCATTCTTGCAAAAAATGTGGGCCAAGTTAAGTACGGGGCAAGATTAGGTGTATCGTATGAAGTTGAATTTACGAACATCAATGTGTAATCGATTAATAGATCTTAACATTATCAACGAATGTAGAGTAGGCTACGTGCAGAATGATTAAAACGATACAGTTTACGTTAGTCGTCATTCGTGTCCTCGTTAGATTGTAATGCTGAAGTAGCAAGAAAGACAATATATATATATATATGCATATCAATGTGAATTCTAATCTGCGAGGTTTTCGTATATCGAGCCCCCTCGACGATAATGCTACGTTTGTTGGCAAAAAATTTTTTAATATACGTATAATTTGATCGCATTATCAGTCTAACTTCGCAATTAAACAATTCATTTCTTTTAACTGATAATATGATAACGAAAATGAAGTCGAGATGGTTATCCAAAGCGACGAATCTTATCTTTCAAATGGAGAGACAGAGAGCGAGAGAGAGAGAGAGAGAGAGAGAGAGAGAGAGAATGTCAGAGCTAAAATTGAATCGAGCTCAAAGTTGACATTTTCGGTAGTTTCAGTTCCGGAGGAAGTACTTTGTCTTCATTCCTCGCGCATGCGGTGTTCAATACGCACGTCCTTTAACAGTGCATCCGGTGTAACCGATATCAATGCGGTGGGAAGTGTAATGACCTCATTAATCAAGAATCAAGGTAAACACGATCTTTTGTCTTGCGTAAAAGGTTTTTAATATCGCGATGAAATAGAAAAATTAAAGAAAAGATAGAGTGAGAGAAGAAATTTTTTTAAATAGCATAAAAAAAGCAAATTTTTGAGAAGATTTTAAAAAGTATATAATACACACACACACACACACACACATTTGCAAAATAGGATATTTATTCTTTTGTGATATTTTTCGCCGTGTAGAACAGTAACCAAAGAATTCAAGCCCGATTTTTAAGTAAATGCAATATCCTGCTTTAATGAACACTTTAAGGATCAAAAAATATATGGAAAACGCAATTTGTCGTTTACCGTGTTTCCTGATAATAAGAAAGAATCATTGAAATAATATCTGCTGGGGAATATCGCATGGGAACTCGAGATGCACGTCGAAGCGAACGAAGAGAGGCAGAGATTATCCGGCCGTGAAACTCAATTTGCTAGCCGGCGTAATAACATACACTATATACCTAGACCAAGAAGCTGTTCAAGATTTGTAATTCTGGGCATTGGCTGGACGTGTATTGGCGTTCGCGCCTGATACTTTCTTTTTTCGTAACGGAGATAGAAGAAGGCAACACTCGCCGAGCGAATGCTCAAAATTACAAATCTTGGACAGGACTGACCTAGACCAAGAAGCATTCAGTTTCCCTATAAAAATCTTGAAGCGTTAACATATTGACAAAAAAACTGTGCGACAAAGAGCCATGTATTCTCCTTTTCTTCCAAGTGATTAAAAAATCAGAAAAATTTAAGAGGGTAAAATAGAAATTTGAACCGGTATTTATAGTTCGATATTGTTTCTTATTTCAAGACCGCCTTAAGTAATATCTTAAGATGCTAATATGACTCTGCGATTATTTAATGACGTCTTAAGATTGTACTTAAGATAGTCTTAATTATGAAAATCAATTATGATTGTCGGCCTTAGAAACTTGATACAATTTTAATTATGCAGAGAAAATTTTCCGTTCTGTGGTCCACCTTGTACTTACAATTAGTATCGATTGAAAAGAGAGGATATATGTATATTCCTACGACGTGCATAACAGGTCCTCTCTTTTCAATCAACGCTTGACAGTTAGCTTCACTAGTTAGCTTTATACGCTAGAGGTCGAATGCTTGATCCAGGTCACTCCAGGTACATACGTCACCGGGCCGGCGCGGCGTGCTAACGTCGAGCGTATTCACGCTGCGAACTCCTCCCGCGTTACGGAAGCGCGACGGACGTGCGGGGCTTCGCGCGATCGATCGGTTTGAACGTCGTGTGACCGGATCGCGTGGAAATCACGGGGGGATTCCGGACTCGTTGCCGGTCTGGCTGGCATGCTGCGTGCAGTGTCGACGATAAGCTATGGAGCCGCCCCCGTCCGCACATGGCGCATCGCGATGAGTAATTCCATGGACTGTGTAAACGCGGTTTAGTGCGGGTTTGTCGCGCGCATCGTTCCAAGTGCATCTAGCATATCCGCGAACTTTTAGAGTTTTTACGTGAACTTTCTTTAATCGCGCGAGGTGAATCTGCATAGAATTCTTTCGGTGCATATAATCGATCTTACACAATCGCGGTTGCGCGCGTCGTTATTTTAATACGTGGATAATTGTCCTTGGTAGTGATCGTTTTGTCGATGATTACTGCGCTCGAATAAAGTCCGCTCGAAGTGATCGATCGAGTCGCCGGGATGAAGATCTTCCGCAAGATCTTTAGAAGTAAAAAGAAGAAGCACATTGTGAATCGGAAGAAACGGCAGACCACGTCGAGGGTGAGAAACGCGAGCAGGACGCGCGACGCGCACCTGCTGAGAGACGATTTCCTCTTCGGCGCCGGTACGCGCCGTTCGAGACCACATCGACGTAAACACAAGGTATGTGCGAAGAAACGTGGGCCGAGTCTTGCCGTGTCAGTGCTTAAGTCAGCGTGTTAAAGTCAGCGCGTTCGTTACGAGTATCGGTTGCAAACGACGTTTATCCAGTTTTAAGACTCTGCGGAATTTCTGCGTACGGGAGAGGAAGAGAGATGCATTTACTCGACGACGAGGAAAACGCATTTCTTCGAACTGGATTCGCGTACCGCTTTCAAAACATCGGGCGTGTACTTAACGTCCCGTCGAGAACAGGTGTTGACCTCGCGGTTGTAGGATTCCTCCTGTGTATAAATCTATTACGTCTTTGCGGTAAACCGAATCGTCCGAGAAACGGTGCGGTTTTCGCGACAACATCCACGCATCTATGTCGCAATGTATGTACGTGTGTAGCGTTGCGTGAACCGGGGACTGTCCAGCTATTTTCCGGCGTTCCTATTCTTTTCCGTTATTTCCGCTATTTGCACTGCCGTTATTGAGAAATAACATGCCTTCTCCATTAATACACATTGACTTGTGATCGACATTTATTGTTCACGTTCTTGACACGTTCTGCAACACGCCAATTTTAGGTAACTCGATCACCGCGCCGCGTGGCGTGGAATCACCGGTATCCCTCGCACTATTCCTGTTTGTATTATATTTATTCAGCGAAATGTATTGTATTTTACAATGGTTGAAAATTGCAAAAATTATGAAGAAGACCTAATATGCCAATATTATATATCATAATTATGTATTCACGCATGGTACCAGAAATTATTTTGTAATTATTTGAGATGTGCGAATCAAGGGTTCTTGACGTCGAATCGAATCGAATTTTATTTAACTTTGTTTCGAATGGTTCACACATCTCTAATAATTAGGTTTTCTTTTACAGTCAAATAGCCTGAACGGAAAGTCCAGCATGGGTCATCGATAATCCATGCGGAACGTGTTAATGTTCGAAGTTTAGCCTTTTCTCCACAAGTACGCTCTATTTAGCGGCGTGTTTGTAACTAAATGCGATAACCCGCCGGCTAGTTAACGCGAGAAAGGCATTTACATCGTGAAAACGAGACGAGGTTCGAACAAGCCGCGTTTGGTGTTAAATGTGCGGCGAAAATGCGAGTTGCGCGCGCGCGCGCTTTTTCCGCGCTATGTGTGCGGCGTGTCAGAGTGAACTCGCGGCTGTAATTTCACGGGAAGTGACCGCATAATCCGACATACACGAACACTAGACTGCGTACTCGCATGTTGGATTGCACGGCAATTACTGTCCGCTGGTTTTATCCGCCCTTCCTTTTTACAGAGTGGTCCAAAGCGTTGTAGGTATGTCTCTGCGTAAAGAAGGCAGGAAATCCCAAAAAGAGCACATACACTTAATCATGGTGGTCTGCTCTGTTCTTTTCCGGTACGGAATTCATTACGTAAGACCGAGTTTAAATGGACGCCAACTTGTTTTAACGCGTCTTTAATTAGAGACATTCGTTTTTATATTCTACGAAGGGATATCCTTTTAGATACACAACGGTTTTACTGAAGCATCTAAAAGTTTAGATAGATACAGATCTGAAAATAATTTTGTTGGACCATCAAAATAGTTATATAAAACGCTCAAGCTGTTAAAATGTAGAATGTCAAAATTTTTTGCAACATGCTTATCATGCTTTCTTATATAATTATTTTAATGGTCCATCAAAATTATTCTGAGACTGTATCTATTTAAATTTGCATTTTTACTTCAGTTAAAGCGTTTCCATGTATGAAAAATTGACAAAGGGAGTATCATTAAATAAAAAAATATATTAAAGATAATAGAGCTACCGCGCTTTAACACAGGTACAAGTAAACCTAAATAGAACAGCAGCCTACGTTAGATGTTTTGATTTAATTTGATTATAATTTTATAAAAGCAATCAAAAAGAAGAAGGAATGAAAGTATAATACCGGTGTCGTAGACAGAATGTTTCTAATCTATAAGTGCCGACAGGTGTGGAATATGCATTCTACATCTCGCGACTTTCCAACGACGCCGCATTAATTACTGCGCTTTTACCTTGTTAACACTTTCGATGCCACTTCCTTTTGCTGTCGAAATTTGTATATATATGTGGCTAGAAAGAAATTCATGTAGTGGTGTTCATTAAATTAAAATACTCGATCGAAGATCGTAAAACCTCGAATTCTGTAATATACGGGGAAAACTTTTAACGCTTGCGATATGTAAACAAAGAATTATTACTTAAATTTTTATACCTATGAAAGAGCCTCAAGTAATCCTGCTTCCACTCTTACGCAAGTCTCGGGTTTGAAATAGACCGAAATAATGTAAAAAATATTAAGAATGGGGGGAACTATTGACGTGTCATCCCTACTTATCTGCATAATGACCGCGATCGTGTTGGCTAACGTACTCTGCCAATCGCATTAAATGCGCAGGTAAACGAACGGACAAGTGAAAATGCGGGGAGGTCAACGTGACAGCATACAATGTGTCCCAGAATCTCTGATGTCGAGGAAAATTTTGCACCGTTTAGAAAGAGGCAACTGAACGATTTCGAGAAGGTTATTTCATTAACTGGATGAAATTTTAATACTGCCTAAGATTATAACTTTATCATTATTTTAATACAAAATTAAATTATGAATATCATTCTATGCACATTTTATTATTTCTTCTAGAAAAGTGAAGAGTATATAACATAACATAACATAACATATATAAATTTTTTTTGATATATTTTTATTTTTTAGAAAATAACATTACATTTATATTTTATAATGCATAATAAATTTATTATATACATAATCTGATTACTACAGTTTGATTCTTCTCATCAAAAGTGGCAGTTAGATTAATTTAATTTAATTCCGCATTTTATGGAGTTTGTCATCATTAAGTTTTTTCCACAATAATTGTTCCAATAAGCTTGGATATCGTTTTAAATAATATATCTTTCTTATGTCACTTTTTACCGAAAGGATGGGTTTACGTAATTCGTGCTTAGATTATTTAGAAAGTAAAACTTTAATGTATTCAAATGTAGCGGACGCGTAAGGCGCGTAATTGCGCGTCTAATTACATGTCAGGACGCAATCGGCGGCTCATTACTTCCTTGCGTATACCTTCGTCGGCGTCGGAATATAATAATCCGGTAGATGCGGGGCCACCCGGTATAAAGCGAGAAAGATCTTCAAATACGCACCACGCCCTCGTGTCGTCTTATCTTTCGTCCGGCCGGCTATAAGGTTGAGGCAGCTACCTGCGGCAGGTACCTAGATCTACCTGGGTCGCGCACATTCCACAGGAAATGTCCTCAAAGATTGCTTCGGAGGCCGAAGTTGGCGATAGGTTTTTTGCTCGCTGCGGGAGTTGACGAAAGATTTTTCTTTCTTGCTCTCGTGAATGACGTTGCTCCTTCGGACAAATCGAGCGTGGCCGATCGCCGCGTCGCGTTGGCCGCGACTTTCATCGCTCTTTACATTTCACGCGTTCGCTCGCGAGCGCGGAATACCGCGCGATGGATCATCGCCGCTCGATCGTCGCCGTCGTCTCGATTTTCGAATTACGTCGCGCAAATTACGTTACGCTATTTTTATCTCTCGCGGATTCGACGAAAATCGAATGAGAGATCCCCGATCAACGTCGACGTTTTTGCGCAACATCGATTATTCTAAACATCGATCGGTAACGATTCTGGGATCCGGTTCTCCTTCTGCGCGGCACGACGCGCGGCAGAATTTTTCTGGATGCTTGAATCATGCGCTGGTCGCGCACACACGTATCCATGGGAACGTTTTACATTCCTAAACATTTGCTTGGTCGCGCGACTGCAAGGTTGCTGCCTGCAACGCTTACGTGTACTTCATATTTAATCCTTAATTCAAGGTCTACTCGCGTCGCCTCTTTAAATCTTCATCGTCCAGATAACTATATTATCTTGTATCGCGATTTTATACAGAATAGTCCACTTTACGTTATCGTCTCGATCATTTTTTCGATACAACTTCGGAGAGGAAAGATTGTATTCGTTGGAATCTCAAACCTGATTACTAAAAAGTTAAAATTTTTTACAGCATTACTCATCAACGTTGGTTTCCAACTTAATGATTAGATAAAAAAAAATTCAAATTGAGTCCCCTTTTTGTACATAAGCTAAAGTAAATAAATTTTATTCTATAATTTTTTTCGCGTACTTCCACTTTCGATAGAAACGTTTGAAGACTATGGTATTTAATGAGAAACAATCGTTTCTTACATCAAAATTTTCTTTCGAAATAGTTCGCGCGCAGCCGAGTGGTAAAACGTCTTCTTTGCATTCCTCACGTGGATTCCTCATATTCATATTCACGTCGACACGCTCGAAAAGTGGTACTGGCCGGCGGCCCCTCTCGTCGAGGATTTTCCCTTTCGAATCCGTTATCCGCGCCGGTGCGGATTCAGCGCGCCGATGGTTAATCAGATTCATACGTAATGAGGCACGCAAGTGTGGGAAGCGCGCGAGCGCGATTTTTCTCAACGGCATAAAAGCGGCGCGAGTGTAATCTACACCGATCGCGACGGAACAGATATACCGCCGCGATTTGTTTCGGGCGGCGTGATCTCGTGCGCCGAGAACGCACTGTCTACGGGTTTACGAAACTTTATGAATCACCAGCGCTAGCCGTCGTTTCCGATCGCGCCAAATGGACCTGAGAGTTGCATTTAGAACGAACGCCTTTCTTTCTGGAAACCGCGCCGGAACTCGCGGCTTCATTTCACGCGAAACGAGAGTGAATTCGAGATATACAGCGTCGACTTATAGTGAAATATTACATTGAGTTTACGCACTCACACGTGCACGTGCACATACGTACATATATGCAAATATTCTTGGCTTTAGAAATCTGACTTGCAGTATAAGGGAAATGTTATGAGTAGCGTGGCGAGGAATCGGTGCAAGATCTTTACTGACAAAGAGAAAAATTCAGACATTTTGAGATTGCGACGGTCTTATCGAACCTGTGGTTTCTTGTACGGA